GTAAATAAAATGACTGTTTGAAAACGCGAAAACTCCTTTGTCAATTCAATGTTGTCTGTCACCGCTTATTCTTTGTCAGCTCATCACTGTTTATTTGGGTGTTTAAGAAAACTGGAAAAGTCGCTACGAAAACAATTTTGATTTATTACTTGCTCGTTATAATTTTGACAAGGGATCGTAAGCTCAAAAATGTTCTCCAGCTTCTCTAGTTTTTCGCCGCCCGCAACCAAGCCATGCGAATACTACCAAATTTTCCTCTTGTAATTAAAATTTGCGAAACTGGCTATTTCTTGAGGATATCTTTACTTTATGGTCGTAAATTTTTGCCACTTTTGTAACGTTCTGTCCATAAACAATTCAAACAACTAGAGATTTTAAGCTGCCCTATCTTCTTGAAATCAGCTCTACTGGGCACCTTTTCATCACTATGACCATGGGTTGGCACCTCTTCACAACTATCCCAGGTATTGAGTTGATCACCTCAGTCAAAGCTTACAATAAAAACATTCCACGGGATCAGCTTTCCAAACTGCATAGGAATGTGATTTGCGTCGGGTTTGAAAGATTCACTAGTGGCACAAGAAGATTTCATCTCTTACCTTTATACGAATAATTAGAGCCATAAACCTATATAAGAAATCGGAAAGTCCAAATCATCTTCATTGCTTCTGAAACTCAGTCCAATCTCTTTTGTCAAATTGTACATACGCGAATATTTTTCAAAATAGTTTTCAAAATTTCATTTTTAACGGGTTTCTAAATTAGGAGAAACCGAAATAGTTGAATGTCTTCTGCCAGTTTTTGCTACTCCGTCAACGGCATTGTCCGAGAATTACGATCTTTGTAAATCCGTTCCATACATATTTCTTTTTCTTCACGGGATCAAAGCGAGCAAGATTGCCGCCCTCGAGTGGCCAATCATACACATAATTCGCTACATCCTGCTCACGGACGCTTCAAGATTAAGAATGGTTTCAGTAAAAACTGAATCATTAGATGACGCTATTCAAGAGTTTTCATTGGCTTAACCATCATTGGTTATGAGCCATTATACCATGCTCTACAAATATTGAAAATGTACGCACGCTTCAGCTCATAATTGAACCGAAGCTAAAATTTATCTATCTATACGCTGTGGCGTTTTTAATTAAACAGTTATTATCTCAATTCAACGCGCGCTCGTGCAATAATGGTCTTACTAAGATCACCGTGAATGGACGCCATTATCAACAGTCCCTGTAGGACAGCTGTGTCATTAAGCGTTTGTTATGCTGTTTTGTTCAAAACTCACAAAATTTTCTTTAAGACACTTGAAGTCAGCTATCATAACAAGCTGCTAAGTTGGAGTACATATTCCTCAAAAAGAATATGTTGTCCGATCGAAGATTGAGCTCGTCTGCCGCAGGGTTGAAACCTAAAAAAATAATAATAATAATTTGTGTTGGCGCGTGTTAAGGAGGAAACTAGCTACAGAGCGTACCATGCCTAGCAAGAGGCTCCAAGGAATGGTTCAGTCAATTCTACTCACAGAAAATTTACTTCTCCCAATTCTTCAGTCTGACTACTTACTCCGAGTATTTCAGGTCACCTGACTGACAACTCCATAGACAAAGATCCTCTATTGAATATCGGTGGACATGTGTGGACATGCTAGCCAACTAATCTTAGAGGATTTAACACATGTTGTCAGAAAAATGACCCAAACACTTTCATAAGAGTCTCATAAAAGAACAACAACGTGCTTAATGATTCCAATCAAACAAATAACCTTGGCCTGCCAAAGCCAAAACTAGAGCTTTAGTGTGAGTCCAAGACAAGATCAGAAGACACACTAAGCACGTCCACTGAAGGAAGTAAGATAAAACAGTAACAATCAGGAAACTCATCGCGATAGCCGAAACCCAAATAAGTTCAGACGAACTAAACGCTAAATATAAACAAAAATTACCAAATTATACTTAGCTAATTTGAACATTATATTGACCATTATTTGAACGGCTTCAAAATGGTTCAATTAACATATTCCATTTCTATCAGGTGAAAGGGCATTTGAGCGCACCGTAAATGGAAATGGTCCTGCAAGTAGCATACCTCCAGGTATTTCTTTACTCTACTAAGATTTAAGTCAAGAATTACAAAGAGGGAGGACAAATTGCTAT